CCAGAAGACTTCGAAGAGTACGTCGCAAAAGCGGAGTCGTCTCTTGCAATTGCATTTGATTATGTGCTCACACTATAAGGCCGAAGTCGCGCTCTAAAAGCAAGTAGTACTAAGACAACCTTAAATCAGCACGAGGAACAGTTGCCGTTACGAACGTTCAGGCAAAAAAGGTGGAACTTTCTGCTATACTCATACCCTCGTTTGGAGGAGACTTATGGGAATGGGACAACTTCTGGGAACTCTTTAGTACTAGCGTCCTCACAAGACGTACCGGAGCTGTACAAATTCCACTATCTTCTTCACGCTTTAGAAGGAGAAGCTCGCGAGTCAGTCAGGAAATTCCAGATTACAAGTGGAAATTACGCGAAAGTAGTGGACTTTCTCTTTCACAAGTATGGGAATCGAAAAGAAGTCATACAACGTCTCATCAAAAAATTTGAAGAATGTTTTCCAAAATCGACTTCTCTGAAAGATCAGAGACCTCTTCTCGAACAACTGCAAGCGATTATGGCTCAACTGGAACATATGGGAGAAAATGTTGATGGTCAATGGATACAAAAACAAGTGTTGTCAAAATTCCCTGTATATATCCAACGCAACGTTCTAAAGAAGAAACAAGCTGTGGAGAAACAAACACGTTTCAAATGCAGGATCTCCTGAACCTCACTGATGAAGTCATAACATGCGAAGAGATGGTATCTTTATACACGACTAAGGAAACGCAACAAGCACAAGCTAGTCCTGTGAAGACAAAAACGCAAAAAAGACTCGCTCAGGATTACAATCGAGTGTGCATGTACTGCGGCGAAAATCACAAGTCCATCGTGTGCACAAAGCACTCATCCCCAAGGACACGTTCACAATACCTACGGGACCACAATTTGTGTCTAATCTGCGCATCTCCGAAGCATACGAGCACCCAGTGCCTGAAGCGTAAGTGCTTCAACTGCCAAGGACCACATCACACTTCATGTTGTTTTGCGAAGGCACCCATGGATACGACCTCATCACAGTTAGAAAACAGAGTGACTCAGAAGAACACTAAAAAACAAGTGCGATCAAAAACCTTTCCACGAATGAAACCGGCAAAAAAAGTAAAACACTTACTGCAGGAAGAAGAGAACACTAGAGAAGACGTTTACGAACTACGGTCGAATCCCGAAGAACTCGGCTTGGGCCAAACAACCTTTCAACCACAGGAGAACTCACGGTACTAGACAAGGAGCATAATACATTGAAGAGTCTGCGTATTATTTGACACTGCTGCTGAGGCATCTTTCATAGACGAAGCGCTAGCAGATCTACAACTTCCTACGATTCGGAAACAAAACCTGCGATTACGTACCTTTGAATCCAAAAAGATACAAGAAAAAACCTGTTCCCTGGTACAGTTGAAGGCGTCGGACACCAGAGGCGATGAGATCACGATCGACCTCCTTACGCACGACATAATATCTAAACCTTTTGAAAGTCCTGCATTGTCCAACGAAGACATCAACCACCTCCACGAAAAGAATATCCCGCTTGAAGCGATTGATATCAAGAGGAAAGTGAAGCCGCAAATTTTGCTGGGATGCGACAAGTTATGGTCCTTCATCAATATTGACAAACCTCAACTTCGCCTGCCCTCCGGGTTACACCTTATTGAAACTCAGATGGGCTATCTGGTATCGGGACAACTCAAGCCAACAACGGAGCACACCAATCTTGACGAAGAAGACAAGTGGGATGGTTACTGGTCACTGGATACGCAAGTAAACGCAGTCAACCGCAGAAGACGATAGCGAAGATGAACAAGAAAAATGGGAGAAGTTTAAGTCTTTAGATGCAGCCGGTACGGAAAGATTTGGTCACTCAGAGAATGCTGAACAAGCCCAGACAAATAAGATTGTTCTGCAGCACTTCATGGAAACAGTTGAAAAACGTGAAGATAGGTACTATGTTCGACTACTTTGGAAAGAACACGATGAAGACTTGCCGGACAACAAGATTATAGCTCAACGAAGCACACCAATCTTGACGAAGAAGACAAGTGGGATGGTTACTGGTTGTTGGTCTGTGGAATTCACTTCGTAAAGATCCGGACATGCTACACAAGTACGACGAAGTATTTTAAGACCAGTTACGTCGTAACGTCCCTGAATACGTCCCAGAAGAGGAAACAGACTACAAGCATTTACATTACCTACCGACTGAAGATAATCGAGATTAACGACTATTTGGCAAGTAAAGACATAGAAGTCCATTATGGCCATGCCTACTGATCAGAATCCGGCGGACTGTGGAACAAGAGGACTGAATAAAGAACAACTGAAGGAACATTACTGGTGGACCGGACCACCATCCTTAAAAGGCTCGCCAGAAGACTGGGTCGCAGATTACAAGTTATTTAGGATAAACAACGAGCAAAATGCTGAGAGTAGTCCTGACTCAGTAATCATAAACCAAGCTGAAACAAGAGCCGCAGAAGGAAGGAAAAATGAAGATATCCTTGAGCACCTGACAGGCCGTCCATATATCTTGGTCAAAAGAATCACAGCTACAGCTTTGCGATTTTTAAGGATAATATTACAGAGAAGGATTAGACTTGGAAGTGATCTTCGATTTTCTCCATTGCTCAACAAGTACACTGCACACCCCTGCAAAGATCTCCACGGCGAAGAATCACGATAGCGGAGAAGATCATTTTACGAGTCCACCAACGCACATTTTGCACTCCTGCAGTGTTGAAATCAGTACCTTAGCTAAACATAAAACAAGATGAGGAAGGCCTCCTGAGATGCTATGGACGAATGGGGAGAAGCTGCTTGGATGATACGGCGAAAACCCCTTACATCATTCTGCAAAACACCTGGCTCTCTGACGCAATCATTCGAGAAAAACATTACCACGGACATCCTGGCATAGGGCACACAATCGCGTTTGTTCGACAGAAGTTCTGGAAACCTAAATTACGTGTACAAGTAACTCGCCTCATCCAACGTTGTGTGGAATGCCAACGTTATAACAACCGTCCATACAGGTATCCGAATCAGACCGATCTGCCACAAGTGAGGGTGCAACAATCGAGCCCCTTCCAACATGTAGGACTGGATTACTTTGGTCCTCTAACTGTGAAGGTCCAGGAGGACAACATAGGCAAAATGCTATAGGGCTATCATTACCTGCATGGTAACCAGACTCATTCATTTGGAGTAGTGTCCGACCTTTCCACTTCAGCATTCCTTAACATGTTGCAAAGATGCTTCTGAAGAAGAGGAGTTCCAAGAAGCATCACAAGTGACAACGCTTCTACGTTCCTTCTAGGGGAAGAAATTTTGGCAGACTGTATCAAAAACCTGCAAAACGATGCTACAATTCAAGAGAATTAAGCAATCGCGAGATAGAATGGAAGCACATTACACCTTTAGCACCGTGGCAAGGAGGATTTTACGAAAGACTGATAAAGACAGTCAAGCTCTCCCTCTACAAAACGCTAAAGACGACTCCTACATTTGAAAAAATGTCAACTACGCTTGTCGAGATTGAATCTCTACTCAACACAAGGCCACTGGTCTACATGAGTTCAGACTCGTGCAACGAAACGATTATAAGACCCATCGATTTTGTACAAAATAATATCATAATTACCCATTTGACTGGGTCAATCCGCAAGACGAAGATTCACTTTACCTTTCATCGGAAGAGCAAGTTGTCCTTCGCAAAAAGCACCAAACAATCCAAGCGCTAGAAAGTTCTTGCAAGTCCACAAGCAAGTTTTGGAATCTCTGGAGGACACAGTATCTTACAGCAGAGAAACACAAATTACAATTTGGTCATAATAATTTCGTTTTGCACCCGCAGAAGGACGACTGCGTTCTAATCACAGACCTCGTACAGCCACGACATTCCCGGAGGATGGGACGCATCATAGAGTTATCAAAGGGCAAAGATGGATAGGAAAGAAAAGCAGTTGTGATCTTACCATCAAGAAAACAGATACGCAGACCAGTAAACCTTCTGGTACCACTGGAGCTAGAAGACAGAACCAAAACGGAGACCGAACAAGAGAGTCCATCCCCTCAAGAGAACCACAAACGGTACCAAATGAGGCCACGAAAACCGATAAATTACGGGGAAAGAAACAAGACTGTGTTTCAAATCCAGTTAGCTTGCGCAAAAATTCGCGAACCTTTATGCCATACTGGAAACCTTCCACTTGTAAACACCTCAGTACAAACCAGATATCAAATTCAATCACAAAAGAAAGTAACAAAGACATATTTGGTGTAAATCTCGACGTTACAAGTGAAAGATACATAAAACTTAAAAAGCCCACTTTCAGAATGATGTTCGAATCGCTCAACAAGGAAGTGCAATACCTCGCCATCATTATGAAGTGCAACACCAAGACTTTGTTAGAAGAACAACTGAAGCTTGCAAAAGAAGGAATGATCCGACAAGTGGAAGCAGCCGAGGCGCTGAAGAATGATTACACACACCTCAAAGAGGATTTCTACATTTCACAAGGAGACCCACGAGAATTAATGATAGTGACAAGTCACCTTCACTCGACCGGCTTACAGCGTCAAAGATCGCTTTGTCATGTCCTGTACTCGGTACTCGCTGTTATACAAGTATTATGGCCTACACTTCGTTCACGAAGTAACTACTACGGTCCCAAGAGTTCAATGATGCGTACGTAAAGGAGATCGACCAGCATCTGAAAGAAATAGAAGAACTGATTCGAAAATTGGAGAAGAAAAGTTGTAGGGCCGAAGAAAGCTTGCGGAAAGAAAGAAGCCGTGAAGCGATGCAAAAAAAAAAAGAATAATCAGGAGTCTGGAGGGTCGAATCAAAAGGCAGGATGAAGAACTGTTCAGAATGAAAACCTCAGTAAAGAGAAAGACAAACACACAAGATGAGCTGATTCAGACTGAAACAACGTCACAAGTGTCGAGACGCAGATAGAAAGACAAGCTCCACGGAATGATCTCCTTGATGAAATGGAAGTAACAGAAATGACGCACGGAAGTGAAAGAGAAGACCACAGTGTTGGACTAGAGCAGCTGGTAATTATCGACGATGACCCCAACGACCCCATTGATGACCCAATGGATGACGAGCGATATTTTCAAAAGCTGTTAGAGGAAGACGAACAGCAGATAGAAATGGAGAAAGCACAAGTAAGAAGGAAATAAGAGAAGAAAGAAAAAGAGTGCAGGGAGCTTGTCGAAGACATACAAGAAATGAAACGCATCCTATAAGGATATCCACGCCGTCACTTTGGAGAAGCTCCACAAGGGACGCACGTACAAATCAACTGTGCGTTCTGCAGGGCCGTAGACGCACATTACTCAGACTCTTGCCCCAGAGTCACAAAATGAGACGCCAGGTACGAGTTAATAAGGAGGGATGGCCTGTGCGTTTATTGCTTAGATTCTTGCCCGGAAGGCCGATGTCGCTTTAACTACCGCCCGTGTTTCCATTGCAAGAGAATCGAAGGCACAATCGTAGACAGGCTAATGCCACGTGACAACGGACATCATAAGGCATTATGTACAGTGTCGGATGAGCGCGATACCGTAAGGAGGTGAATTAGTGATTTGCGCGAACGCCACAGTCGCGCACGCTGGGAACTGATGAAAATGAAGACGAGTAACTAGAAGAAGGAAATGGAAATCCCGCGGCGGGAGTGTCGCCGACACGACTATAGAATCTGTAGTTTGTTCGTTTGTTTATTGTTTGTTTGTATTGATAAATAATGGCGTTATTTCACAAGTACATGGTAGAAAGTGAGGCCACGAAAAACAACCAAGTACAGCAAAATAAGCAATTAGGGAGGAAGCTTGGCGTGGCGGGAGTGTCGCCAAAGTCGACTATAAGAAGTTTTAGGAATATTACCAATGGCGATACTGTAGATTGTACATACTGCATAGTTATTGTTCATTGTTAGTTAGTTTTGTATTGTATTGTAGTGATTAGAAGAATGCCCCAAGAAATCAACCTCATCCCATCACCTTATCACTATTTCTTCAGTCAACAATGACTTTACCAGTAAACAAATCTAAAAGATATAAATACCGATGGATGAGTGAGGTCGGGGACTCTTCCACAAGTCTGCTCACCGGTTGAGAGTTCACAAGTATTTGAAGAAACAACCTTGAGTGTTGATAGGCTTTTAAATAAAGTTTAGTTCCCTCTGAGACCCGCGTGGCACGACAAACAAAGGAAATATTTTCTACAACGTCGCCTAACAGATGTACTCGCATATTCGTTTTCAGTGTCAGCCTCTGCACGTACCTCCAAAGCACGGAAAATTCAAGACATGCACTCAACTCGTCTGCTGCTGTAGCCCTCGGAATGACAGGCAATGTTTGGCGAAAGTCTCCAGCCAAAAGCACCGTGAGACCACCCATAATTTGATCGTTTTCCCTCAAATCCTGCAAAGTTCGATTTAATGCTTCGAGAGCTCTGTGCACCATCGTGCACTCATCCAAATAATGAGCTTGCACTCTTGTAACATCTAATCTTCGAACTGCCTTTGCTTATGCTGCACATCGGAGTGTTTGACAACGTAAAATCTAAGGGAAGTTGCAAAGCTGAGTGGGCTGTCCGACCACCTTGTAATAGTAGTGTAGATGCGGTTCCTGAGGATGCTAGGGCAACAGCAGTAACTACAACTCTTCGAAGCTCTGCGAGAATCAGATTTATCAAAAACGTCTTTCCCGTTCCCCCAGGTGCGTTTAGAAAGAAGATTCCACCGTTTTTTTTTGTTACAGCGTCTATTATTGCAGTGTAAGCCCCCCCCCCTTTGATCCTTAGTTAGTAGGTTTATGCTGTTATGAACAAATCTTTCCAGCTCATTCCTGTCATAACTTCTTTCTCTTAAAACATCGTCCTCCAGCGCATGGTTGTTGTCACGACTGGGGCTGTTCAAGCCAAGCTGAGACAGTGTTTGGCCAGTAAGATGCAGTAGTCTTCTATTTGAACCAAAGCTTGATTAGAGATCTCAGGTGAAAATTCAATTCGAGTGATGTTTGTCTGCGTCTTTCCCTAAGAATTCACTGAGTACCTCCTTATACTTTGCTCAGAGAGTACGCGGATTAGATGGAGAACACGCTGTTAAAATTACCGCAAAAAGACTACGAAGCTGCGCTGCGAAACACCTTAGCGAAGCTTCTAGCATCGTTGCATCCCAATGTTCGTCACTCACAAGAAGGCCAAGTTTCTGGCAAGCTTCCCTGTACGTTTCGCATAGTTCTTCTTCAACGGTTTTCAAAGCAGCAAACGACCTAGGTCTACGAATAGTAAACAGTAAAAGTCTGAGATAGAAACACGCAGCGCTCCTCGGGTGGACCGTATAAACACGTCCGATGACTTCCGATGCGCGGATATCATGTCCAGGTACCAAGCTACCCTGTTTTTTTTTTCTCGGCAAAACTTCCTTGTTGTTTTGTTCCATGTGAAATACTTCGGTTCCTCGGGTGCAGTAAACTGGCGAACGAGTTTTCCTACACAGAAAAAAATGCTGTTAAAGTAGTGTCAGGAGGCTGAGCAGCTCTATCCCTTCCATTCTTAGTCGTAAAGTAGACTCGCTGTCCATTTTCCAGGTCGACAGAAAGATGTACGACAGGAGGATATCTGTCGTGTATCTTGAAATTGAGTATGCGCCACACAACTTTGTTGCTACTAATGTAGCGCCCCATTTGGTACTGTGTGACTTCGTCATTGGATGCGCTTCCTTGTTCAAGGCGAAACACCGCCATATCTTCACCCTTGTCAACGTATTTGCAGATATACTTAATCGACTTTATACAACTGCAATACTCGACATCAATGTGTGCCTGGAACACCTTCGAAAGCAGGGGAGAGGTATACGGCACGGTAGCCTTTTGAGATAAGATGTAAACCATGACACTCGTCTTCGAATGCTGATTCCGAACTGACTTCCGTTTCTGCTAATCGCTTCAAAGAGTTATGATGGATCGCGCGGAGTTTGGCTGCCCAGTGGAATATGGTCGGAGCGCCAACACTAACTTGAGTTGTGGTCTAATGGTTAGTGCGATGGCCTCACGAGTCGATGCAGGCGTAGGTTCGAATCCTTTTGTGTTTTCAGTTTTGCGTTGCCTCAGCTAATCTTCTTTCGCATCCTCTAACTAAGTGAACGTCCTTACTCTAAAATGCTTAAATTTGGAGTAAATGATTACTGTTCGCGTTAAAATGTATCCAAAATACTTCGAGTGAAGTTTCTCGAAGAAGTGAGACAGTGCAAAGGTAAGATTACAAAAGGATTTTAACCTACACCTGCGTCAACTTATGAGGCTACCGTACTATCTACTAGACCAGAACGTGGCCGCAGTAGAGGCCGTTGCAGTGGCCACATTTCCCTTAAGCGGCAAACTTGGCACAAAATTCGCTAAAGCTTCTTTGAGAGAAACGATTATCAGAAACGGAAGTCAGATTCGGAATCAGCGTTCGAAGGCGAGTGTAACGGTATGCATCTCGTCTCAAAAGGCCAAGGACATTGAGTATCGTTTCCTTGTTAGCTTCGTCGTGAAACCGCCATCCTGCGGGCTGCGTCGCTTATATAAGGGATACCCGTCGTTGCCTGTTTGCGTTTCTCAAATCATTTGCCGAGGGTACTTTTCAGTGTGCTTTCCATCCCTCATACACGGTGATGAAGATTTAATCGCTTCACACGGTCCACGAATCATATTTTTGGTAATAATCTCGAACAAAGTCAGGTCCTCATGTGGATTTGTAGTTCGGCAGATATGATATCATCAACTTGATTTGAACGGATTTTATCTTTCAACCATAGCAAGATGTGTGAATGGGGAAGGCCTCTCTTTTGCCATTTGATGGAGTACATCCAGCACCTACTCCATAAACGTGGCTTTTCGTAATCACATCCATGAGCTTGGTCAATTACTGTTTAAATACCCTGGCAGTCAAATCACGCCTATCGGCAGACGTTTGACCCACAAAAGCTCTTTCGAGACCGCTTTCCAAGCTGGATTGCACGTGAATATTATAAAAAGATCCGGCCTTTCATACATACGAACATAAGACACTGCATCCTGCGCGTATTCATGCATATGTCTTGGACTCCCGTAAAGGTGGCTGGCAATATCACCTGGTGTCCGAGATCAGCCAATTCTCGTCATTGGCCACTGCATCACGCAGATGAATGTACAATACCGCTCATAATTCGTCAAAAAAGTCGCCGGGCTGCGGCACACTCCGCCGGAGTGCGGCAGAGTGCGCCACAGTCCACTAGAGTCCGTCGGAGAGCAGCGGAGTGCGCCGCACATCATTAGAGTCCGTCAGAATCCGCGTCGCATCACCATATCTCGCTTCAGTAATGACGAATTTTGAGGACACCGTTCGATTCAGCTCGGCGAGACGCAACATTTACTATAAGGGAGTGCCACAAACTAGCAGGATATGATAGGTATACGCTAGACAGCACGTTTTCGCTTAATTTTGCAGATTTATGTTTGGTTGGATTGCTCAGTGTGCTATAACAGTACTGCCATTGATTGGTCGCTGATGACACGGAAGGTATGTTAGAAGCATGGTAAAGATCACTCTAATCGAATTTATTCTAAAATATGCTCAAGATCACAAAACCGCTCACAGAATCTGCAAAATTTCCGTGAACTTCGCGGAATTGGATTTCCGCCAGAGTCCGCGATAATCCGAGAAGTTTGAGACATTCCAGGATCTGTGGTATCGGAATCACGCAGCATACTCAACGCCGTAACTTCCCTCGGAATGAATATATTCCGAATCCAGAAGCAGCATTGTGTTCAGATTGTCGAGGCAAATATTTTGATGTACAGTATGCTCTCAATATTCTGTTTTCAATTTTTTCGAATTTTTCTGTGGAGGTCCTTTCCCAAGGATGTAACGCAGCGTCTGTGTGACATGAAAGATTCCAGTAAGCACTATCCGTCCGATAGTACTGTTTTTGTAGATTATCGTGCGTTTAAAATTAGCTGCAGACTGTCTTTCAAAAGAAACAGAAGCGTTGGCGAATTTTGAAAAAAATCACGCGTTTTTAAAGTTTACTCGCCGTAATTTTCTTCGGAATGAACATATTCTGAATCCGAGGAAGGCTTTGTGCTCAGCTCATCAAGGGAATCTTTCAATAAACAGCATGTCCTTGAATTTCAATTTCAGTTTTTTCAAATCTTTCTATAGACGTCTCTTCGCAAAGGTGTAAAGCAGCGCGCATTGCTCCTAGTAGACTACATTAAGAGTCTCTCGATAGCACTTCTTTTGTAGATTATGGGGCGCTAAGAAATAGCGGTTTACTTCTTTTCAAAGGAAATAGAAGGGCTGGCGAATTCTGAAAATCATGTCTTTCTAAATTTTTCTCACCGTAATTCTAAAATATGAAGATCCCTTGTTAAACTGATGTGATTTTCGTAATCAGCAGGTCGGATAAGCCTTACGTGCAAGTTTTCAGGGAACTTTTATTTGATTTTTTCTCGTTTCACGCTCTCAAGCTTCACAAAAGCTCGTAACGTATGTATACATTCTTTGATCGTTAATATCTCCTTTCCCAAGAAGTCTTTTGCCTTGCTTCAGATATCGTTTTGTAGAGCTGGCTTACTTAGATTTGCAGTATAAAGCGAATCACCCATCTCTCTTCATTACTGTAGGATCACGGTAGAAACTTGAAACATATGGTGTCAATGAAGATAAGCTGCCGTTCCAAAAATTTTCAAAAAAATGTGAAAACTTGTGTAATAGGGTTTTTACGGATGCTGAGTTCAATACTCAACTACTCACAAGATTGTGAAGCTTTCTAAACGATGTAACCGCATTAGAAACATTGAAAAAATGGCAGTTACCTCTCACTTGGCATAACTCTCCAATGAAGCATCATAATAAGTTGGGAATTTTACAATTAGAATCAGCAACTCTAATTAGCCTAGTGTGAAAGTTTTCAGGCTGTTTTGTTCTCTTTCTGAGGCAAAATATGGCCTTTCATGGCTTAAAAACCTTTTTGAAGTTTTCACCGTAATCCTGCATTAATGAAGAGAGTTGGATGATTCGCTCTATAATCTATATCTAAGTTGAAGCCAGCTCTACAAAATGGTTCCTAAAGCAAGGCAAAAGACTTCTTGGAAAAAGAGATATTAACAATCAAACAGTGCATACATGTTTTACGGATACACTGTATATATAAGAGACCATAGGAAACTTCCAGGTGTGCATTCGTACCTTCTCTTATTCTTATTCGATGTAGTTTCTCAACCTCCTTTTCGAACTCTCTAACTCTTGTCTCGTAATTTTGTAAGTAGCGACCGCACCTTTATTTACTCATATCGGCCGTCATAATTCACCGCCGCTGGCCGGCGGCTCACTATGATCTTTCGTAATTTAGTCGTCTTAGTTTGAAAGGTCACTTGTTTCGTCCAATTGCATGATTGTTTCCTTGCTAATAAATAGCTGTAGGGAATCGATTTTGTTAAGGCCGGCAAACATTAACCACCTCACCTGAGATAATTTTATTCTTAGTATTAGCTGCTCTGCGGAACTATGCCGAGCCTTACCATTAAGCATGTTAATAAAAGACTATTTACGAAAACATGATTTATAAATGCCATGAGTTTTTTCACAAACCAATAAAATTGCATTCATTTCTCCAACCTTGCTGCACTGCAAATACTTTCGCGTTCTAATAAAGATGCTGATCGAGTTGCCTTCAAACTACTCAATCGAAGAAAATTGCCTCTTTGAGCGGTTAAGAGCATAATGACTGCCAATTCTACGTCTTTGCCCGCTTGTACATTTCTAAGGTGAACTATTAGGTTGTCAAGAAAGTAATGTCGGTTTTTATTTGCTTGCTTTAACAAAGCAGCCAGACTCAACTCAACAAAGGGTGAGGGGTACTGTTCGATAGAGCAAAGCAAGCTCTACAAGATGGCACTTATGTCTTTGCGCTATGCTCGATCCACGGAGAGTTCGAGCTCAAAATCTAAAGATTTCCAAATGCCCAAAAAATCGAAAAAAAATCTCTTCGTCCAAATAATTTCTACGGATTTCCCACTCGCTCACGTCAATAGATAGATATCGATAGTATTGATGTGAGCGAGTGGGAGGTCCGTAGAAATTATTTGGACGAAGATCTGATTTATTTCGATTTTTGGGCATTTGGAAATCTTTGGATTTTGAGTTCGAACTCTCCGTAGATCGAGCATGGCGCAAAGACATGAGTGCCATCTTGTAGAGCTTGCTTTGCTCTATCGAACAGTACCCCTCACCCTTTGTTGAGTTGAGTCTGGCTGCTTTGTTAAAGCAAGCAAATAAAAACCGACATTATTTTCTTGACAACCTAATAAAAAGGAATTAACAAGAAATTTGGCCTTTTGTTTCATAATGGCTAAGCTAGCACTAATCCGAGCTAATGATTCATAATTCACAAATTGTGAGTCTGCATTATACCACGAAAGAGTGTCTCGAAAAGAGGAAATTGAAAAAATGAATAAAAAAATAATGCTTTAGGGTTGTGGAGACAGTAACGACGATGCTCCTTAAAAGGGAGTGTCCGGGTGAATTTGGGAACACCTAATCTCAACAATTACTAAGGCGGGCTACCTATGCAAGTCATAGCCAAACTGCGAGTGTAAAATACTGCTTCTGGAGCGAGAAAACAGTTTTAGAAGCGTAAAATGGCTAGCGCCTCTACTCAATATCGTTCTTACCGAAGGACTACAAAGAATGCATATAAAAACCGAACACTTGAATAAGTCTTTTGAACAAGTAATTTTTGAAGATGTGGCACAAAGTGCTTGCCAAATTTAGACGTTCAAACGCTCATAGCTAGGAAGTAAATATGAAAGTTGAACTTAGAATCAGCTCATCAAAGCGCACCAAACGAAATGCATGTCATCTCGGTTTGGCACTGCGACCTTCCTTTGTAAAAAGTCAGGGTATTGTCAAAACTTCAGGACCGATTTTCACGCGCTTTTTCAAAAAGTGTTCCTGCGGTCTACTTGGGCCTGACTAGAAAGAAATATTTCGATCAAAAATCTTACTTTCAAAATCTGCAACGTTCAGGATTACCTTCACTCAAGATTCTCTGAGTCGATTCGCTAACTATTTTTGAAGGGATGATTCAGAAGTTTGGACGATTTCACACGCAAGCCTTATGAGATTCAAACTTTATGCAAATTCACCATCTGAAACTTTATTCTTGGAAAGCACTTCTGAATCGACCCGATTTATGCCTATAGTGGGTTAACAATAAATTTTTGTGATCAAGGTGAAAAATGCAAATGAGGAGAAAAAATGTAGCATGCCCAGGATGCATGTGATGCAAGACCGAGTTGTTCACATAGGCCCGTAGTAAACCCCCATCAGGGCATCTCTCTTGAGGCGGACCGGAGGTGATCTCAACGCGCCTGAGCACATTGCCAGGAAAGCGATTGATTTGGAGCAGGTCACTTACTGGACATTTGCGTTTTCAAAGGTGGAACGAGCTATTAAGTTTAGAATCTGGATAGATTTTGAAAGTTGCGAAAAATTAAATTTCTTTGCAGGTGGTTGTGATGTGGTGCTTTGATATGTCAACCACTCGCTTCCTAGGAATTGGATATTTTTGTAAAGAACTGCTATTCTCTTGGGGAACACCGTCCTGGGAGATTTCCATCGTGCAGTTTATAATGACCTACTCTAGACATGCACAATTCTATGCTGCTACCGTACTCTCTATCAATAGAATGACAGCTGTTTTAGTTCCCGTAGCATATAATGAGGTGATTATTTGCTACCAATTTAGAAAACGAATTTGTGACAGAAAAGATTGAAAATTCCAAAGCCGTGAAGAATGTGAAGTTTTCACATTGTAATTCCGTTAACTGCCCCTTTTTCCAGATTTGGGAATACCACTGGAAGAAATTTGTAGCTATTATATTCTGCTTACCATTGTTATCGACTTAGTACTTATTACCAACGCATTCTTACATTGCTCCTTATATAGCTGGAGGCCTAACGATAGGATACATGAAGATTTTACCGGAACCATTGGTATTCAACATTTTTACTTTTGATTTTGATTATACACACTCCCTCATTCAGTAACCATATCTATGAATACTGGACATATGAATGTAAACGTTTTACATAATAAACATGACTTATTCTAATTATTAGGTTGTCCCGAAAGTTTTGTCGGTTTTTTGAAACGACTATAAAACCACGCACAATGAAGACCTAAGTGAGGTTTAACATGCATTCGATGCAGCTTTTCCTTCTTTTTCTTACGGTTGCATTTACGAGCCAAGATTCTGTATGGTTTTTTTTGATAATTGCCACAAATCTTCTCGTCATTTTTATCTGCTGAAAGTTCGGCTAATTTTCAAAAATTTTATTTCAAAGTTTTGGAAAGGACTAAGCATGGCACAGACAGAACAATTCTTGGGCTATACGGTAATATTTTTAATTTTCCTAAGTTGCTGTTTCTAGCTTCAAAGAATTATTTTTTCGGAGGTGTCGATTTCTGGCAGAACCATGAAATACGCAACTGCGGCAAAAACATGAAAGCTTCTGGAATTTTTGCGAATTGGAATTTGATTGCTAATAAACATTATTTATGAAACACATCCAAGTCCGATTTGTTTTGAAAAAGCAGCTTTTTGGAATTTTCGGTGACTTTACGTGGTAGACATAGTCAAAAGCGGTGGTTTTTTTCAAATAAATAAACATTTAGGACTTGATAAGCATGACCGATGTAATCTAAAACAAGTATAATGTAGCCGAAGAATGGCTCTACATAACAATTATTAGCGCTTTTCGAAAGTAGCAGAAGAAAAATTTTTTAAATTTAGAAAAGATTTGGGCATACTATTGAGCTGCTCAAAAAGCCAGGCGATAACGATTGCGAAGACAGGGTTGATCAGAGAGCAAATATAGCTGTAAGAAAGAAAATGAAAATCTGTTTCAAATGATGCCTAGACCTTCCATGATTTGATGTTCTGTGAGTTTTAGTGAGCGATGGAAAAAACCGACAAAACTTTCAGGACAATCTAATATTTTTCCTATATTTTCGTCGAATTCGACATTGTAAAATTAACCCAGATTTCCTTTAATAATTCAAGAAGTCCTGATTAAAAATCATGCCATAGTAAAGTCTTTGTCATAGTCTTTCAACACCAATCCATTGCTTGATTGATCAAAGACTGAAATTCCAACATTCCACCCATACCTTATCACATGAATCTGAAGGGAAAGGTCAAGAGTTTGAAGGTGCTGACCACCTTAAGTTAGCGGTCTTGAGGTTTTCGCAGCTTACGATATAGCTTACAATTAGCAGCGCAGAATGGCGCTTTGGAAGCGAAAAAATCGCTTCGGAATAGCGAATAGACATGAGGACCTCAGGTCGGCACCGCCCTCTCCGGTAATACCCGCCCATCTGTCCGCGCCCACCCAATCACCCCGAGAACCGGCCTGCGGGCTCCCCCGGAATGGGGATTGCCACGATTTTCGCTGATCAAATCCAAACTCAGACTCTGGGACATGAGAAGGCCCCCAAAGACCAAAACAGAAAATCTGGGTGGACTCTTTAACAGCCCAATTCAGAGCTGAGAGAGTCTTTCAAGAAGCCAAAGAAAGTGCTCCGACCTTCCAAGTGTCTGAAGCTACGACTTGCAAGTTTTACCGCTTTTGGCAGAAACTATTGAAGTAAACGAAAACACTGATGGTTGCATTTTCACGGGTTCTTGACCTTCAACTTCCTTGTATCTTGAATCCGTTTCAATTGATAAGATAGAGCAACTCATGGGACGGTCATAAATATCTTGTTAGAAATTTGAATTGCCCCAGAAACATCATAGAATACTGAAAATGCGTTCATTTGTGTCCATCTATAAATGAAAATTGCGAATCGTGACAAATAGCAAAATAAAGCAGATGTAAGTGTAAAAACTGATCTATGAATCAGCTAAGGGCAGTAATGCTACAGTACGCCACTCGCGCTTAAGGTTGAGTGACATTCATTACCGTTCATTCCCACACCTACCTAATTTAGATGATATTTTTCCTATGAATATTATTTCAACATTAATTTGATATTTTAGAGTTCAGTGACGTTTACAACTTTATTTGTGGCACTAATATGCGCATTCACTATTCTTATATGTTCTGCAATCACGTACTTCAAACTCACTTGTAGAAGGAACAGATTTCGCTGCACTAAGGTGGACAGAGTCTTGCTCGTGGTTGGCTTAACGTCATCTCTCACGACTTTTACATTAGCACTGGTTGAGGTAAGCAACATATTGGGTTGGTATAACACTTTTCATGAATAAATTTTTCTTCAGGTGCCGTTGTATATCACCATAAATTTTGGTACCTTATCTCGAGACCATTTTTTCATTGCTACCATGTATCAAGCAGTGTGTCATTGATCTCAGTAAGTATTTTTATTATTTTTTTGCGTTATCCTCGCTGATTTAGTGGTTTACATGTTTCATATTTACGTAGATTTTTCTTTACGTGTAGTTTTTCGCTCTCTTTTCAATCTTCAGTGCCTAATTTCTATATAACTTTAGTAGATCACTTTCGCACACACGGAAATGCAAATTGATTCAAATATACAGGGTGTCCCAAAAGTAAGTACACACTTTTCAATCGGCAATATCTCTCTTTCCAATGGGTCTTTTTTTGCCAGTCATGTACCATTCTGTAGAGAAGGCTTCAACTTAGATTTATGGTATCGATCGAATTACCGATCTCTCTTCGTTACTGTAGGATTTCGGTAAGAACTTCCAGGAGGTGGGGACCATTGTGAAATATACCACCTAACAAATGTTTTTCAAAAAATCTGCAAAATTGTGTACTAGAGTTTTCGCGCATGTTGATTCCACCTAACAACTTTTTACGAGTGCTTTCAGCCTTTTTGACGGTGTAATTACATTTCTGACAAATGCTGGGAATTGAATTGTTAAGATTTACTGGCGATAATTTAGGAAAGAAGCACCACAGTTGAGTGTAAATTTCATATTTGAAGTCAACGGCTTCCATTACCATAGTGTAAGAGTTTTTGGCTTGTTTGGTTTTGTTCCGAGGCAGATTATGGCTTCTATTGACCTAAAATCCTTGTCGAAGTTCCTACAGTAATCCTACAGTAATGAAGAGCGATCGGTTATTCGCTCAACACTGTAAATCTAAGTTGAAGCTTTCTCTACAGAATGGTATTTGAATGGCAGAAGAAACGTGATGGGGAGAGAGATATTAACGATTGAAAAGTGTGTACTTACTTTTGGGACACCCTGTATAACAGAAGAGAAATAAGGCAGCTGCGTAGACGATAGTTTTTGGAGTTTTCTGATCCATGAAAAAGATTAACTTTCATTGGTTTTATAGCCATATTCTATTGTGCACCGCCAAAGACTGAGCAAGTGTCACTTAACAATAAAATTCAAAATAATTCCTCGCCGGCGAAATAATATGTGGTGGACCCTGGAATCACATTTCTCACGTGTAATCCATTATTTACACGGGTTTGCTATTCTCGCATTCGGCGAGGCTGGGAAAGAGTAGAAATGGGTGTCCGCGCGCAGCCTGAAATTAACACTCTTGAGGGACCCGTCATACTTCGCCGAAAAAAGCCCAAAGAAGCCCGAAAAAGGCCAAAAAAGCCCAAAAAAGCCCGAAAAAGCCCAGAAAAGCCAAAAGCGCCAGAGAGCCGGAACACTTCTCGCACGTTTTGGCGCTAAGGCATGTGTGTTGACTTCGCAATCGAGCCTTTTTGTCATTTTCTGTCGTCCGCATGATAAGATAATGTCAGAATTCTACCAAAAGTTCGTTTCTATTAGGGTGAACGGTAAAAAATGGGACAGCTTGATTTTAATTACATTTTGGAATTTTTTGTTTCGAGCAACAGCAAGCAGGCTGCAACTTAAATGTCGTTACATGGGCGGCCCTCACCTATTATTCTGACAACGCGTTAACGCTCCTCTTCCACTACCCTACGCGTGGCGCCGCGAAGAACTCAGACAGGGTTTTTTGAACATTTCTCAATCTTGCGCTGCTATTCCGTAAAATCGTAAAGCAAATGACATACCATTCGAAAGAGCTCTTCGTGATCTTTCAAATGATATGTTGAATGCGTGAGCTTTCTTTTCAATTTTAGAAAAAAAAAGGCGAAAAACCCTGAAACATAGCTATTTTTGGCGCAATAAAAAACCAAAAAATCATGTTTTGCCCTATATTATTCGAAGATAGATAAAATCTGAGGTAAGCTCATATGGATGGATAGAGCGTAAAAAGCTCTATCAGATGGTCCCTAGAAAACATGCGTTCACCTGCAAAGAATTGAATAACGCGTATCTTCGTTCTCAAAGCTGTTAATGGCCATATCTCCTGACCTTGAAAGTTGATGCCACCAAGCCGTCGTGGGTTTGGTGACCATCCCATCACTTACTCCAGCAGTGGTACTTTGGGTGGTCTCACATGTTTGACTGCGCAGAAACTGCTCGAAGTTCATGATTTGTCGAAGTGACTAACTTTGCACTTCAACAAGTATAAAAGTTACTAGGTGTGTAAAGACCTTATATAGGTACTATCTGAAAGAGAATAATTTATTATAATTTCCATCAAAATTGGAAAGTTCGATCACATTTCTTCCTTGAGAAATCTGCAATTTTTCTTAAGGTGTCCCATTTTTTACCGTTCACCCTAATATATTCCGGCTCTTTCTGGCGCTTTCGGGCTTTTTTGGGCTTTTTTGGGCTTTTTCGGGCTTTTTCGGGCTTTTTCGGGCTTCTTTAGGCGCTTTTGGGCTTTTTTTTGGGCTTTTTCGGGCTTTTCTGGACGCTTTTGGGCTTTTTTCGGCGAAGTATGACGGGTCCCTGAGAATTCTAGGAATGTGATTATGGGAGCAACGCACGTTGATCTTTATTCAGGTAATGCTTGTAATGAAAAGGAAGGAAAAATTTTTAATACGGAGTTATTTTGATTTCCACAAATCAACTCTGCGTATTTGTTCTAGTAGCCAGTGTTACACTTTTTAGGAGCTTTTTTTGAGCAAATTATGAAAATTCTTTTGATAATCATGAGGTTAATGCAAAAGTTTTTGCGTTCGAAAAGTCATTGGCTTTTTACATTCTAATTCGAAAAAAGTTAAAATCAAATTCAGATTTAACCTTTGCATGAGGAACAAGATTCAAAATGCGAAAAAAATTCTGAGAAAAGCTTTTCTGCAGAGCAAATTACGCATTTTCCTCATAAAGGACAAACAGGAACGCACATAAAGTGCAGGAATGGGGGATTTTTCATCGAAAATGGCACTTTCACAAATTTTTATGTTTTTGCGTTTTCATGTAAGATCAAATCCAGCCAGCGCACAAACACTGCTGCAAAATTTGAGATGCCATTTTCAGTGGTTCCCAAAGGCTAGTTAACAGAAATTCGCGTTACGTAGCTTTCGAAAAAAGCAAACCTTCTTCTGGCTTTTAGGCACAGTGAATTGAGCTTCAGCACCTGAGAAGTTATTGGATTTTTTGTACAGAGAAAATTTTGCATCAACTTAACGTCATATTTTTTTCATACAACAAACGCTTTTGCCTGTCTTTTCGCTGAAGAATGGTGGATGTTTCGTCTCTTCCTCTTCCCACACAATTCATATTGAAAAACTCGCATAACAATGAATTCGGTCTCCTTCACAGCATTTTCATAAGTTACATCCATTCAGTAATTTCGCCAACATGAAATATCTTCGTACATCTATCTGTTCATTTCCGTATCACCCTAGGATATTCAATTGTGAGCTAAGGGCCACGTCATAGAATTAGATCTCAAGGATACATAATGCTAATATCTACCACGCTAAACCATTTCTTTGCTGTTATTAGGTACAACCTTGGACCTACTAACAAATAATGCTGTATTGTAATCCCAACAAAGTGTGATTAATTAGCTACCTTTAACATGCTGAAGCAAAATATGCTATGAGCTCAATTTGATATAGCATATTGAGGAAAAGGTTAAGATTTCGGGATGAAACTAAATGGAATGAAATTGCATCGTATCCCAAAAAATATGCTTATTGTTTGATCAATGTTAACTCTCTTGTCTTTTTAGAAGTTTGGGTACCATTTTGTAAAACTGGCTTCATCATAGATTCACAGTATGAAGCGAATTACCGATCCTTACTTCATTGCTGTAGGATTACGCTAAGAACTTCCGGCATATGTCGTATTGTGAGCATTTAGCGCGTCGTTTCAAATATTTTCAAAAAATAAAACATGTGTAGTAGGGTCTTCATGAATGTTAAGTGTATTAATCAACCATAGAGTTTGCAAACGGTGTAACCACATTTTTAGGAACATCGAAAAAAAGCTGCGCTGTTTACTTGGCATAGCTTTTGGTACTTTTCCGTTATGCTGACCCACTTCTCCAAAAGTTCTATGAACTAGGTGCTTTAGGCTAGAAATGTTTTTTTCATGAATCTTATGTGGACTGTCTCCTTGCCACGTGTCAAGATAAAAATCAACACGTTTGGGGCCAGCCTGACATGTTTTTTCATAATCATTTCTGGTTAGGTACAAATGGTTTGGAAGCTGTTCAGGGGTCTTTTACAAAAGCAAAACAGTTTTAAACTTTTATTAAAACATCTTGGTAGTTTCAACAATGGTTTTAAAAAAGCCTGCTTTTTACATTGTTTATTCCAAGAGAGCCGGGAAAAAATATAAACATGGCGTGAAATACCTGGCTGCCGATTGTTTTGTCGGTTAGATAATAAAATGATAGCCCTTTCTGCTTTGAAGAGATCCAATGTGTTTGTTGAACACAGAATGTCACTTTCTCATTAATAAAGCTCGTTCATGAAACTGTTGGTTAAAAATGGGGTCGTTATTGAGCAAAAACACATCGAACTCACACTGATAGGTAGGCTAAACCAACTCTTGGTAAAACCTGTTAAACGTGTAGGTGCATGATGTCAATTTTTTTACGTGGTAGGAGGTTGACTTTCCATGAAAAGTTTCTACCTAATTTAGTCGAAGGAAAAAGCAAGATTCTTTTTGAAAAAATGGGTCCGAATAAAGAAAAGTACCTAACTTACTGATGAATCGTCAAGATAAGAGGTAAATTTTATTTTTAGAATCAGCAGCTTTAATCCACTAGTGTGATAGATTTCAGCCCGTTTTGTTTACTTTGTGAGGCAAGATATGGCCCTCGCTTAAAACTTCTTGAGAGTTCCTATCATAATCTTACGGTAATAAAAAGGGAACGATAATTTGTCATCTTACTAGTGAACCAGTAAGCTAAAGGTGCTATTTGCAAGAGCGTTCGCTTTAGGACCGCGTCGCAGTTTCCCGCTATTTGATGATTTTTGGTGTTATGATTCTTTATATATAAGATATATATATATATATATATATACAAAATTGAATGTTTGTTTGTC